ATTGTTACGAGAAACTCAACGATTTGGCCAAACAACACAACGCTAAAATCGGAACGATGCTGAACGAAATGGCGGAAACTAAACCGGATTTCCAATTCACCGTTTTCGATTTCTACAACGTTATTCTTCGTAGGACACAAAGAAACATGAACTACCGTAAGTTACAATTGAAAATCTACACGATGATTAATATCGTTATATGCGTAGACTTTGAACCGACATTAATTAATACTTGTTTTTCTATGACTAATCAGGATTTTCCGTGACAAATATATCGTGTTGCGGTGTTGGGACGCATAATGCATATGGTTGTGGTTTACCTAACGTGCACTCGAAGTTATGCGAATATCAAAGATCGTACCTTTACTTCGATGCACGCCACAACACAGAGAAGGCACAAGAAGCGTTCGCTCATCTTATCTTTGGAGCCGACCCAAATGTTATCCAACCTATGAATGTTCGTGAGCTCATTGTCTATCCTGTTAATGAGCCTATGCGTGAGTTTTGGGAGGATCCAATGGAGGAGAAGTTATCATTAGTCGACGACGTTGACGTCGATCCTAGTGGATCTATCTACCTTGTTTAGTTCTTGAGCATAATTTACTATTTTCTATCTCTATATCACGCACGAGCTCTTGGAAGCTGTAATGCGTTGTTCTTAATTTGTTGAGAATTAAAATAATAATGTTATCCTCAACTCTGTTTTTTCATAAGAAAAATCTCAATGGGTAATGCGACAAACTTGAGAATATGAACCAAAGCGTATCCAATGAGGCAATGACCTGCTTTGTGCTCAGATCAGACAAGTTTCGGGCCACACGTACTCCATTAGAACAAAATGATAAAATTTGGTGGAATCATTTTTTTTGCAATGAATATATACATGTAGTCAAAATGATTGGTATAAAAGCAAGGAAAAGTAGAGCTTATAAAGTTCTAGAAGCTAAGTTTTACATCTGGCTCTGGGGCCGGCTAATATGTATATGTTTAATTTCATATGAAATTTAAACCAAGAATCATGATATTTATGTAATAGATGAGTCACAAACGAGACCTTCTTCATATAAAATTAAACTTACCTACCCTCACGTAAGCAAATTTGTTTTATCTAGTTTCTGCACTTTTGTTTATAATTATTTTTTTAAAACAAATGGTGCACCTTTTTGTCGTTTTAATGATCCCAAATTAGGCGTCATTTCGTTTTTTTTGTTTGTTTCTAATATATTCAACGCTAATCTTTCATTAATGGAAAAAAATGACTCGTGAATTCAATATTTTTTTTTGTGAAAAGGCCTCGTGAATTCAATACAAATACTGTATAACATATTCAATAGAGCCACATATACAGTAGCTGCTACAGTTAAAATTTCTTTGAAAGTATCTATGTGTAAACTAATATATCATCTATTAGTACAAAAAGAAAGTTTAAATAAACTGGTCGACAAAAAAAATTAATAATTTAAATATTTATTATATAATTATATGAAATACTCCAATCTATTTTAACTTAAATTTAGCTTTATAACTTAAAATTTGTTTTATAATATATATCAGTTTTTGGTTTTTAATGTAAATATTTGATAAAATTTCTAATTTTATTTGTACTGTTTTATTGTATTAACTGGAGTGTATTAGTAAAATAGAAAAGTTAATTTTTTTAATTTGTATTAAAAAAAAAAAACTTTAAACGAACACTTGATCTGTTACGGCCACGTGGGTGAGAGGTTCCATTTGACATGTTTTTTTATATTTCATTTATATATATTTTTTCTTGCCTCTAAAATGCACGATCAATAATTGAAAATAAAATCTAAAATAAATTTTGAAAATAAAAAATAAAATAGAAGAGAAACCAGTGATCCGTCAGATGCCCTATTCTAAAAATCCCCGCCTAGCCCCGATTACTCTCCGCTTAATCGTTAGGCTCACCCTATCCGCCTCGATTAATGATTAATCCCCTAAAAAATCAGTAACCCGATTATTCTCCGCCTAATCCGATTACTTCCCGCCTAATCTTATATACCCCGATTATTTTTTAGATTGCAAGTATAAAAAAACCTTTTATTTTTGTTATTCAATCATTTGAATGGGGAGTTTGTGATGTTTTACAATAACTTGTGTTCAAATTTTAATAAAAATAATAAATTTGTAATAAAAATCATAAATTTTTACAATATTAGATTAATATATTTTAAAAATATTAAAATAACCCTAAAACTAATCCCCGATTAATCCCCGATTTTAATCTGATTTTCCGATTAATCGCTAGGCCCATACCGAACACCCGACTAGCGTCTAGCGATTTTTCAAACAAGGGTCAGATGTGATAATGCGAATATAATAATTGATCAATAATCGTTTGCTAGTGCATTAATTAGGTGTATTAGAAAAAATGAACCTCGCCCGACACGTTATTATTTTTTAAATAGTATTTTGATAAAAGTTTTTTTCAATTGCCAAATTGTAGTATTTGCAATATAAATATAACGAATCAGTCTACGAGCTAAGGCACAGAAGCAATCTTCTCTTTCACTGTTCTACATCTCTCTCTCTCTCTCTCTATTCACTAAACGATGGCAAACAACTGTAATTTAGTCAGTGTTCTATGTGTATTTTTGGTATTGACTCTCTTTCACAACCCCATCGCCGTCTCCGGACAGATTAATGTTCCGGTGGTGGCCTTGTTCACCTTTGGTGACTCCAACTTCGATGCCGGAAACAAACAGACTCTCACCAAAACCTTAGTCGCTCAAGGTTTCTGGCCGTATGGAAAATCCCGAGATGATCCCAACGGCAAATTCTCCGACGGCTTCATCGCTCCGGACTTCGTCGGTACGACTTTTTTTGTTTGTTGTTAATATAACCCGAAGACTAATTAAATCGAACTCTCCAAAACATAAAACATGATACTTTTATCATTTAAAACGTTAGTAGTTACAAATCACGAGTATTGGCTAATAGTTACTCCATCCGTTTCATATTACTTGTCGTTCTAGATTATTTCACACAAATTAAGAAAATGATTAAATTTATTGTTTTACCCCTAATTAATACTCCCTCCGTTTCATAATATAAGTCGTTTTAGAGAAAAAATTTTGTTTCATAATATAAGTCGTTTTCAAGTTTCTATGCACTTTATATATTACTTTAATATTTTATAATTATTTATATTATGCAGTCTCTTTTATGATTGGCTGAACTTTTAAAAGTAGATCTTCTTAATCTGCGTGTTTAAAGCTAAAACGACTTATATTATGAAACGGAGGGAGTACATTATTTTGTTTGTTATATGTCACTAATAAGCTTAAAAAGTAAGGTTAAAACTGGAAAACTTGCCATAAATTTGCATTGTAAATATAAAACGACAAGTAATATGAAACAAAATTTTAACTCTAAAACGACAAGTAAAACGAAACGGAGGGAGTATGAGTTTTGGAAAATGGTTAGTGCATTAATTGAGCTGCTATTCACTTTTCGAAACACATGTAAAAAAAAAAAAAAAAATCGTCGGCAGATTTGGAGATGTAGTAGTAACGAGAATTATTTGTATTATATGAAAAAAAACTAATATATTTCTAAAATACAAATGCAGCAAAATTCATGAAGATCCCGATCGCGATCCCGCCGGCGCTTCAACCGAACGTCAATGTCTCACGTGGAGCTAGTTTCGCCGTCGCCGATGCTACTCTACTCGGAGCTCCGGTGGAATCTGTAAGTCAACTTCAGTTCTTATTATTCCCTATAATATATACTAGTGTATATCTTATATTTAACACCTAACTGAAAGAAAATTAATTATATGTCTTTTATTGACCCGGTCATACTAAGCGGGAATTTTTTGTTTTACTTCACATAAAGACATCTGGCCTAATGTCAATGTCAATAATCTTTACTTTAATTTATTTGCAAACTATATCATAGTTTTGGTTTTTTGTCTTTTTATTTTTCTTTAGTTGACTCTGAATCAACAAGTGAGAAAATTCAATCAAATGAAAGCAGCAAATTGGAACGATGACTTCCTGAAGAAGTCAGTGTTTATGATATACGTTGGTGCAAACGATTACTTGAATTTCACCAAGAACAACCCCAACGCCGATGCATCTGCTCAACAAGCTTTTGTCACTTCCGTGACCAACAAGTTAAAGAACGACATCAGCTTGTTGTATTCATCAGGAGCGAGTAAATTCGTGATCCAAACCTTAGCTCCATTGGGTTGCTTACCCATCGTCAGACAAGAGTACAACACCGGGATTGATCAATGCTATGAGAAACTCAACGATTTGGCTAAACAACACAACGAAAAAATTGGACCGATGTTGAACGAAATGGCTAGAACAACTCCTGGTTTCCAATTTACCGTTTTTGATTTCTACAATGCCATTCTTACTAGGACGCAGAGGAACCAGAACTTCCGTGAGTTGGTTAATTTCATTTATTTTAATTTTATAACTTCTAATACCATGTGATTAATACTTATATACAAAACCGTTAATATTTGTCACTCTTAGGGTTTTTCGTTACGAACACATCGTGCTGCGGAGTTGGGACACACGATGCGTATGGTTGCGGTTTACCTAACGTGCATTCGAGGCTATGCGAGTACCAACGGTCTTACCTATTCTTCGACGGACGTCACAACACCGAGAAGGCGCAAGAAATGTTTGGTCATCTTCTTTTTGGGGCCGATACAAATGTTGTCCAACCAATGAACGTCCGTGAGCTTGTTGTTTACCCAGTCGATGAACCTATGCGTGAGTTTTGGGTGCCTACAACAACGTCAGCCACTGTTCAAGCCAGCGACTCTAGCTCGTCCTCTAGCCGCGGTTACGAGTATTACTGAGTCTCTCTATTAAATCAATCTTTAGGGTCAATCATGTTTCTACAAGGCTTGTGAGTTAAATTATAACCGAATCAAAATCGGAATCTTGATGTGTAACGTTTTTCCGTTTTCCCTAGTGAGTTTTCCTCTATTAATAAAAGATTGATCAAAAAAACTTCGGGTATTGAGGACCTCTTTCCAACCATGCTCTCCGGCGCCGGTGGAGAACTTGCTCACCGGCGTCGGAATCTTTCCGGTTCCCTTGCTCATTTTGCTCATCGTCGTTCTAGTTTTACAGCTTTTTCATCCCTTTTAGTTCAATTTTTCTCCCTTTTAAAACCCTCTCTAACCCTTTCAACCCATATGCATCTGGTGAGATCTTCAATCAACAATAAAGGAAGAAGATGGTGCCCGGCAATTCCCATCTCTCATCCTCAACGTGCTTCACCTCTGCGAAAGTCAACCCTGATAGAACCACCAAATTTTCGAATTGAGATCTTGTTTACCCGAAAAGAAACCTCACACCAAGCTAAGGCGTACGGCGAGCTTCTTCTCAGCGACATGATTTCACCTACCGGAACGGCCATGTTCCTCTGGTTCCCCTCCACTGCTTCAAATCCCGACCAAAACCATCAAATGTTGCCCATACCATCACCGGAGATGCATGTTTCCCCGCAAAATTTCTCCTCATCTCCGTACAGCGGCCGTCGCACTCAAGATCTTCAATTGCCAGTCAAAAGGAAACTAGGTCAACTCGTGGACTTTTTCATGTCTGGCCCATTAAGGTGTCGAAAGCCCAACTTTAAAAGAGGTGATCCAAACCCTTTTCTGCAAAAGCCCAGGTCTGCTCTAATTTATTCTTTGTCCATCCTTTATCAATTTTTGAATCATCTATCGGCACCACTTGATCGAGGACGTCAAAGGAAGCGTAATGTTTCGGTTTTGTTATGGATGTTTAAGAACAATCTGCGAACCCTGCCTTTAGATTCACCCAGTTTCCTCGATCATGAAATCTTTTGTTTGAAGAAGAAAGGTACCTTGTTCCCATCTCCAATAAGTCGTTGGTGTGACTGTTGTCACCAAAGCGTCAATTGTTTATCTCTGACCCATTTAATTACCAACTTCAAGCAATCCCTCATCAACAAGGCTCGGAGCTCTTTGGACTACAAAGAAAATTTCAGAATTTTTGAGATAAACCATGAACCTTCGCATCATGCTCTTGAAAGTAAAAGATGGAAGAAGAACGGCATTATGATCCCGTCTCTAAGGAGCGGTGGTTACCGACGCTTCTTCCATCTTTCCCCCTCCTTTCCTTTGTTTACTAAAATTAGGCAAGTTCAATTCAACATCATTAAGGTTAGTATTCGTGAAACTGAAAGTTTGAAGAAGAATGGCACTATGACCCCGTTTCCAAGGAGCGGTGGTTACCAAAACTTCATCAACCCTTTATATCCGTTTCCCCTGAATTATGAGCTCAAACCCGTACCCGAAGAAATTTATATCTTTCAGGATATTCTACCATTGGTCCCATGGTCCTCTTTGCGTCTCGTGCCGGCGAACCAAGAGACAAAGGACACTTTCTCAACGTCACAAGATCTCTTGATCGTGACTATTGCAAATTTCCGTGAATTGTTCGCGGAAGTGTCTATGACACACCATGAAGTCGCTTGTGGCTTGTTGCTTGATTGCTTCGGTCTCCGATTCTCTATGGAATATCAAAACTATCTATCCTTCTTTGTTGTTAGCTTATCTTCTTTGAAGATTATTGTACTCTTTTTCATGCTTGGAGAGCTTGTAAACTTTGCCCCTATGGGTTTGATTGAATGAATTACAAGTCTTACTTGACAAAAAAAAAAATTGATCTTTGCAATTTTTATCACGCAGTGGAATTAATCGTGAGTTCATTAGTCTATTGATTCACTCTAATCTATTCGAGAGCTTCATTATTTAATAAATAGTATAAATTATGTAAAAATATATGACGATATGTTTTATGACACCGAATTAAATAATAAGCTGATTTTAATTATAAAACGAATATGATATCTATCACTAGTTGGGAAATATAATACTCCCAACTGAAATAAATATATAGAATTAAAATATAATTACCAGTTGGGAGTATTTTATAACAGTAAATATATATAGTCTGCATTATGATCTGATTTTGTGGATCGAAACATAAAATAAGACCAAAAAATCTCATCCGGTCATAAATTAAGTAATTTTCTTGTATTTAAGTAAGAGAAATAAATAATAAAAGCGGATAAATTAGCTCGACAAGTTCGTACCGAACCGCTTCATATCACATATGTAAATAATATTTCCTAAAAATAACTCTTTTGAGCTTTAATTTATGCTGTTGACAAATAAAAAAAAAAGTAAGAGAAATAAATGACGCTTGCTTATCCCAAGGTGGAAATATGAAAACATACAAATAGTATTTAAAAATCTCCATAATTGAAGCAACACACCGATCTTGACTTTATCTATTCTATATCTACGTTCAATGTTGATAAAATAGTACTAAAACGATTTGGATCGCATCACATGATTTATACTAGTAATATAGTAGATCCGTCTGACATGGTAACATTTATTGTCGGACTTATATAATTGAAAAAAGCAACTGTTTATATTAATGTTTTAGGAGGTTGTATTCAATAAAGGATTTGAAATGATTTGTATTAAAAAGATAAATTCTATGTTATTCAAACATGAATTTTAAAAATCTTTTTAAAATCAAGTGTTATTGGATTAGTGATTTTAAAATCTACAATCAAATTCATTGTTATTGGAAACATTTTAAGTTGTGGATTTGAAATGACTTGAGTGATTTTTGGTAGGATTTCAGAGAACATCTTAGTTAAAAATTCAAATATCCAAATCTCATGGTTTTAGGTGGGATTTGGGAGAGTTTTGATATCAAATTCCGTAATTCACCAGAATTCACCAAAATCATTTCAAAACTCATTAAAACTCAAATCACTCCAAATTCTTTCTTTAATACACTCCCTTTGATAAAGTTGAATGGCAATAAATTGTAATTTTAATTTTTAACTATCGTCGATTCGTCGTAGGGTTTTTAATCGGTTTTCTTTTAACAAAAAAAAGTAATTAATGGGTTTTCTCGCGCTGGCAGCTAATCTTCCGGTGCAAGAAAGATCAACGCAAATAAGCGCTAATAAGGTTTCTGCTAGCACACATCTGCACATGTTTCTTGTTGTCTATCTAATTGTCTTGTAACTCAGTATTTCATCAAGATTATTTACTTCCACCATAAAATTGTTCTCCGTATCACAAAAATAAAAAGTAATCAATTTTATTATTATCCTAACACACAAAAATTACATGACTAACATGATTAGACAAGATATATAGTGACCTCGTCAATTATTTTCATATGCACACATATAGACGATTCTAAGTGAGCCTAAATTCAAATAAGGCTTTGAGATTATAAGGTCCAGTGACATTGGGTGATCCGCCCCAAATCAGCTCTGCGATCTGTCGATGAGCCTTTTCCGTCAAATGAGAGGAATCAAAGAACAAATAATCGGTAACGTTTTCGCATAGCTCGTAACCTTGCGATGGCCCTCTTCGGTTTCCACACGTATTGATTCCTCTCAGTGGTCCGCTTCCACAACATGCCTTCTTCCCTTCTTTGAACCCTTCAAAATTAACAAATACAACAACAAAAAATGTTCTTAAAGGTAAACTATAGATCGATCTCTTACATATATGTAACTACCAAGTTTAGTTACCATATTTTGAAGGATTATTGATTCTTTCGGAAAGTGAAGAGTGATAGTCGTGAAGAGCGTATCTAAATCCGGACAATTCGCGTTGTAGCCGCCTTAAAACATCCGGAAACTTCTTGTTGTGCATGTCGATAAGCTCAGTGACAGGTTTGAAACAAGATCCTATCTTTGTTCGGTCTCTTATCAATGAACTTGGTGCACATTCGTACGGTCCCACGTTCAAAAATCCAAATTTTCTTCCTCCCATTTTATAAAGTGTCTAAGAAACATAACATTTATCTCTTTTTAGACCAAAATTTAATAATTTGAAATTAGTTTTCCATTTTATTTTTACCTTGATCACGGATGTCGTGTTACCGATAACAAAATCGACGAATTTCTCTTTGGAATTGGATTGGAAAGTTGAGGAGTTTGCAGAGAAAGGATAAAAATAGTCGTTAACTCCGATATGAAACAGATAAACAGCTCTTGAGAAAACCGTTTTGGTATCTGCATCTCCTAATTCAGATCTCAACCTCTTTTCAACATCCTTGAAGTTGTTTAGCTGTGTTCCCAAATTTATTGCCTTGAATGATTTATAAAAAAAAGTGAAAAATTGTCAAATAGTCAGGTAACTTTGAAGGAATAAAGATTTTTTTTTTGTTTCTACTCCCTCTCTCTCTCTCTCTCTAAATATATTCTCCTGTTTTAAAATTAATATTATCTAAAGTTTCAAATATATTTTTATCACAAATATTTAGTTTAGCCATAGTGATAATACGAAATAAACCAGAATTCCAAGAGTTAGTAGTTTTTTGTAGGTACATGGAAACAAAATTAATTTGTTTCCTTAAAGTAGCATGAACAAAATATCAAATCAACATTTATATTGATTTGGAACAATTCAAACTGATGATATTTACCATTCCAGGAAAGCTTTCGACTAAAGCTCCGGCGCCAGCAGAAGCAAAACTTACTCCATAGGTAAATTGATTGTTACCGTTGCTTGGTTGTAGATTTGGCGGGATCAACGGTAACCATGCGTTCTCCGCTGCCACGTCAGCGATTAGTGAGACAAAAAAATGTTAAAACTTTCCTAGGAAATAAAACTAACAAAACAGAGTAGTTTTGTTATGTTACCGATGAAATCGGGAATCAAACGTCCGTCTGAGAGTCTTCCGGTGGGAACTTTGAAAGTGGTTCGACCGTACGGCCATATATTAGACCGGAAACTTGAGACGGTATCGATGTAGTTGTTGTTTCCGGCATCGAACAGAGAATCTCCGAACACGAACAACGCAGCTTGGTTTGTTACAAGATTGTTCTTGTTTTTGCAGTTGATTGAGCCGATCGATAAGATTACTGTATAGACGAAGAAGATGATCGAAACTAATCGAGAGCTTCCCATGTTTAATCGTTAACGTTAATGTTTTGTCCACTAGCTTATATATATTCATAACATTAGTTCTTCCAACAATTTTTATTTTTTTATTCTTTTTTTTATTTTTTATATACTATAGTATTATTTCTTTTTCTTATTCTTAATTGTGCATGGACAAGTTGTTGTTCTAAAGCATATATAATTTTCCTATGCACGACTTTGAATCAAAATCGATAAATTATCTTGTTGATAAAAGTATATATGAGGTGACAAAGACAACAAACATATTTATTTTAATCATATATTTTCGAACTGCACATGAATTTGTTTTTTTTATATATATAAGAAGGTACTCCCTCTAATCTAGAAAATAAACGAGTCATACGAAAATAATAATCAGAAAATTAATTCCAAATTGTTGTGGAAATGTGAGGATACGATCGAATGAACCCCATGTCTCATTAGCCCAGACAGCTCCTGAAAGAATGCCGACGGTTAAAAAGATAAATCCAAGACTAATAATACGAAAACTCCAAAAATCTAATTGATTATTATTATCCGAACGAAATATTGTAGTCATAGAGATTATTGTAGCATAAGTGTGATCGGTCTAATACAGCGACAATACCATATCCCAAGTTAAACTAGTAAAACTTTTTGAAGTAGCAATCAGATGAATTAGAACAATCAAATTAATTATTTTCTTACAATTTAATGAGGATAAAAACACAAAAGGTGTTATGGAAAAATTTCAAAGATTTATCGATTTTTGTTTACATATTTCAAATCTATAATCACGTGTTCTCATTTTTTTCTCAGTACATGCATAGTTTTCGATTTAATATAAACAGATACAACATTAAATCAAAACCGGTAAACTTTACCTTACAAACCTTGAAAATCAACAAAGAACTTAGTACAAAAGGGCTCATACTCATGATGATAGTCAAAGGAAAAGGAGTTGTTCTTCATATTTTTGCACTAGAAAGATATCATTAATTAGTTGATAGTTTGAAAATAAAGTTTTAAAATTAGAAGCCAAGAAGCTTTATGATTAGTCAAAACTTCAAATTAATACTTTTTTAGAATCAGAAACGATCTGCATGTGTCACTTTTGACGTGATAAATAGTAAAGAATAGAACGAACGAGCGAAGTCTTGCCGCCATACTTGACCGTGGATCGCGTTTGGTCGTAGCGACACGAAAATTCGAATCTACTTCGCCACCGGTATCTACATATACATTTTTACAGGGGATTTTTGCAAAAAGTCTTTTGGATCCGGGTTTGATCCGGTTTTACTCTATTCGGATTTTGGATAAGCAATTTTAGGGATGTTGTCTTAATTTCAAACTAATCAATGAAGCCTTTATTAATTTCAAACTGAAAAAATTTATGGCAATATTAAAACGAAATTAATTCCTTTATTAATTCATATTTGTTAATTTCCTTAACTTCTCCCCACACCTAATTATTAATTTTCTTTAAGAGAATATGCGTATAATAAAACAAATAAGTTACCTATTTTAATGGTAAATAATCTTATTTGTTATATATATATATATATATATGATATCTTTAAACTAACCATATTTGTTATTTACCTTAACTACTTCTAACCATAATTATCTAACTACTTATTTTTATATAGAAAGAATATGTGATTAAAATAAATATTTTGTAAATATTAATTTGGGGACAAATTCTT